GAAATACCGGTCTCTGGACAAGGAGACAGTGGGAAACAATGGTCTCTGGACTGGGAGACAGTGGGAAATACCGGTCTCTGGACAAGGAGACAGTGGGAAACAATGGTCTCTGGACTGGGAGACAGTGGGAAATACCGGTCTCTGGACAAGGAGACAGTGGGAAACAATGGTCTCTGGACTGGGACACAGGGGGAAATACCGGTCTCTGGACAAGGAGACAGTGGGAAATACTGGTCTCTGGACTGGGAGACAGTTGGAAATACTGGTGTCCGGACTAAGAGACAGAGGGAAACAATGGTCTCTGGACTGGGAGACAGTGGGAAACAATGGTCTCTGGACTGGGAGACAGTGGGAAACAATGGTCTCTTGACTGAAAGACAGTTGGAAATACTGGTGTCCGGACTAAGAGACAGAGGGAAATAGGGCTGGGCGATAAACTGGATTTTTACTATTTCCGTAATTCACCTCGATAACCGGCGACAATTTTCCCATATCGGTTAAACAAATTAATTTAATTGCGCCGTTTTTCCTGTGTGGCTGGCTGCTATTGCCTTCCCCTTTAAGACACAGCAGCGTCTGTCTAATCACATGAAGCCACCAATCCAGTCAGACGCTTAAACAAAGAGAATGGTGGATGAGCCGAGTGGAGAAGGGTCTAAACACGGCTTTAAACAAAATTACATCAGTTAATCCTGTGGAGCCGAACGAGAGCGGAGAGGACGCTGAGGGTGAAGAGAAGAAATCGAGAGTGCGTTGTCAGAGTTGAGCGGACGGGCTTTGAGTGAGGGTGTGTGAGTTTAAACGATTTACATTGTTCCCCATGCACCGAACTTCGGTGGCACCAAAATGACACCATAGATGTTGAGCAGGAGAACACGAAATGCAAAGTTTGACCGAAAAAGGCTCCATGTGTACAAGGCTCCTTTACCTTTGCACAAAAATGAAACATTTTTTCCTGTTCAATGAGAAATGGTTGAATGTTTAAACTGAATGGGTAAAAGACTAATATTTAATTCAAAGTAATATCTAATGTGAGTTATTCAATAAATAAATTTTAAGTAAATCAGCTGCATTTCCTGCCCCTGCCTTTATTTCTGATAGAGGAGCCAGAACATTTATTGTGCGTTTATCGTTATCGAGATTCAACTGCCCAATTCATCGCAGTATTGATTTGAGGTCGAATCACCCGGCCCTAGTGTGAAAAACTGGTCTCTGGCCACTCCTCCTAGACTCCATGTTAGAGCAAAAGCACATTGAACATTTAAAAATGCTTCAAGGAGCAGGGTTTTTTTCTTTAAAATAAAAAGTGCCTCCTCTGACACCCATCACACTTCACCAAGCAAATGTACACCCCAATAAATCCTGTACCCAAACATCGAAATGGACTCTGTTTGAAAAGAAGGTTACAACAGTGTTTACCTAAAAGTGAAAATTATCAGAGAAAAAAAAAACAAAAAACTAAAATATCAGCCTCTGAAAACAGATAAGGTGATGCAGAGAGTAAATTATGTCAGGAGCACTGCCTTTACTGTTAAGATCCAGAAACTTTCTGAAACTGGAAAGTTACAGAAGCAGTCTGATTCAATTAAAACCATCCAGACCCATTCTCTGAATAAAATTACTATTCCGCCTTTATCACAATCATCTACCTAATCCTACGGTTATTGGTGGATTTTTTTCTCATGCAGTCATGTGAGAGATTTTAATATGTGGGCCAAAGTTGAACTTTCAGGCCTCTGATTTATGGGCAGAAAGCTGCAAAATGAAATGAAAAGTAATCTAAAGCCTAAAGTTTGATGTGTTTTATTTTAGCAGAACTCCACAATAATTAAATGTGGAGGAGACGCTGTGAGGCGTCTGTCCCCGGCAGGGCAGGGCCCCTAAATTACTCACAGTGTGAAGGCAATAAATCAGCTTCCTGCTTACGAACCACTTCCACATATCTGGTGGATTTCTATGGTGGAATGGTTTCCATCCTGTTATCAAGCTTTCATCGCTGGACAAAAAGAAAATCTGTCTGAAGTTATGAAGAGCCCGATCCTCAGCAGCAAGCTTTCACACTGCATCATATTAATGACAGCAGCTTCATGTTGAACAGAACATATGAAACCCCTTAAAAAGGTCTGTTTAAAAGGAACAAACATCTGTTTCAGGCTTTGATGAGTCCACCTTCTCCATGAAGGTCTGCAGGCATTCAGACCGAGTTCCTCCAGGAGGCAGCAGGCTGGTCCTCATGAACTCCCACTTAGTGGACCTTCAGTCCTAATGAGGAGCTGAGGACAATAAGGGCTCTGATTGAAGAGGAACCCTCCCGCCACTTTCTACATGATTGCTTCTGTCAGAACAAAGGAGCAGAAGAGCAGAGCACTGGCCGGGCTGGAGGGGCCAAACTTCTGCTGCACATCAGAACCACAACAGCCTTTGGTTCCTGGACAAATACATCCTTCTATACATGACAAGAATAACCTTTAGAGAGAAGAAATCCAGACCCACTTTGGTTCTGGTTCTGGTTCAAAACGCTCTAAACTTTGACCCATGAAGAAAAGTCAAAAATAAAGAGAAAGTGTGTGATGTCAGATAGGAGCCCATCTGTTGTTCTAGCAGAACTTACCTGCAGGGTTACAGAAGCCAGCCCAGCGGGACTTTGATGGTTAAACTTCCTTCCAAGTTCAGCAATCGAAGGGAAAAGTGAGCAGAACTTCTCAAACTTTCCTTTAAAGAGTCCCGTCAGAGAAGTTCTAGTCACCTGATCTCTACGTCAAAGCGGAGGGGCCCAAACTCCTCCGTCCTGTCGGTGGGGGTCCAACGGAACCAGCAGCCCTCCCCTGGCCCACTTCAACGCGGCGTCGCATTCTTTCTGCCTTTAAATGATTTCAGATTACAGATTACTGGATTAATGCATGTGATCAATCTGAGGAAGATGAAAGTTTGTACAGATCAGAGGAAGTTCTGCTTCCTGGAAAGTTTAGCATCTGAGCCTAAATCCTTAAATATCCAAGTTTTGCTGCAACTTGGAAACAGTTTCCAGGCGCTGCGTCCGCTGGTGCACGGCGCCACCTGGTGGTGGGCCCTAAATATGGACACCACAGCAAAGGGGGAGGATTTAGCGTTAACAGTAGTAACCATTTAAATGGCCCCACTTTGATTGAAGGGCCCTTAATAAACAATTACTTTATTAAATAAAGTCATATTTAACATTTAATTTGGGGACTGATGGACTCAGTAATATTTCAGCACTGAATTGAGGTTTATTGGACTAACAGAAAATGTTAAGTACACATTAAAACAAAACTTGACTGGTGCACAAATGTGGGCACCCTAATCATTTTATTGATTCGAATACCGTTAACTACTTTTCATTAACTTACTGAAACACAAAACTGGTTTGGTGATTTCATTAAGATTTGAACTTCATAGCCAGGTGTATCCAGTCATGAGAAAATGTATTTAAGGTGGCCGGTTGCAAGTTGGGCTCCTGTTTGAATCTCCTCTGAAGATTCATCATGGACAGTGTTGGGCACGTTACTTTGAAAAAGTAATTAGTTATAGTTATTAGTTACTTCTCCCAAAAAGTATCTGAGTTAGTAACTAAGTTACTCCTCAATAAAAGTAACTAGTTACTAGTAAAAGTAACTATTGCGTTACTTTTGAGAGTGTATGAAATTAATAACTAGGGATGTCTAATTTTAAAATCCTGTGTTTGGGTTGTTATAGATACTGCAACATGTAGCTATATCTATCTATCTATTCCATCCATCCATCAATCCATCATCCATCCATCATCCATCCATCCATCATCCATCTTTCTCCATATAGGCTAATGATCGTTCACGCTCTCCGTAGTTCCCCTGTGGCGCGAGCACAGGGCGGCTGTTACGCACCTTTAGCGAGCATGCGCGTTTCCTGTCGCTTGCGCGGCGAATTGTGCCGCCTGCGCTGTGCAGAGATGCAGGGGAAACCGTATCTGATGGGGAAACGCAGCTCGACGTAACACCAGTATTTCCATCTGGAAAGCACTGTTTTGCCGCTGGAGTCCTCCTCACTCTCCATCCTCCCCTCTCTCATGAAAAGGCCCCCACGAGTCCTATCATGAAAACAGGTTAATTGTGCGACCTGAGTAACGTGCAGTAACGTGGTGTCGGCAATTGTAACTGCGTTATAGTTACAGAAAGAGTAATCATTTTGATTACTCGTTACTAAAAAAAAGGTACCTTCAACGCCGTTACTCCCATCACTGATCATGGGCGCCTCAAAACAACTCTCCCATGATCTGAAAACAAAGATTGTTCAACATAGTTGTTCACGGGAAGAATCCAAAAAGAGTCTCAGAGATTTAAACTGTTAGTTTCCACTGTGAGGAACATAGGAAGGAAATGGAAGACCAAGAGGCAGACCAAGAAACATAACAGAGGCAGAGAAGAAAAATGGTGAGAATGGTCAAGGAAAACTCGCAGACCACCTCCAACCTACAGACCACCTCCAACCTACAGACCACCTCCAAC